CAGCTACAGCCAGGCGACAACGTGAAGTCGATCTCTGATTAAATATTCCAATGAAACAAAGGAGAGAGAGAGAGACTGAGGAAACTTCGGCTTTTATATTATTCATGGAGATAAATAATATTTCGAGTCTGAGCTTCGCATTTATCATAAGTTTCCACTGAAGGGGTCCTCAATAGGTTGCAGCAGGTGTCCAACAGACTAGCTGCCAAGCCACCCTTGGCATTTTCCAGCTCTATACTCTATACTCTTGTATATCCTCAATCTATAAATTGCTAAGATTAGGGGCGTGGCAAATCGGTAAGTGCATTTACCAATATGCCAGAATGTAGATTCGTGTTAACCGGTCAAGATGAAAAACACTAGGGTCATATCTACGACCATTGGGGGCGTGGCAAACCCCAAAAGTTTATATCTCCCACAGATTAAGAGCTTCAAATTTGGATAGATGCGTTACTAGTAGCCTCCTCTATCTATCGGTGACCCAAAAATGGAATCAAAAAACGCTGGAGCCTTTCCATTCAGCTCGATCTAAAAATTGGCCAAAAATGAGGTGTCTACGCTCAGTGGGGCGTGGTAAATCGGGAAAATCTGCATTTTTTACAGCATTAGAGCCACATTAACAACTAAATTGCTTATGGGATGTGAATGAGTATTCTACAGTTGGTAACGCCTGACTTCAACGTTCTTACTTGTTTAATTTCAATTTATACTGCATGTTTTATTAGCTTTTGAAGCTAACAAATAAAAGAACCTTTTATTATTGTCACTCACTGTAAGTCTCCCGCTCTGCTCTTCAACTGTATGAAGGTTGAGATCCTAATGAGTAAAAAACAGAAGACAAAGCACTCAGTGCATCTCAGTACTTTGCTGTATCTCTCATTATTAAGCCGCAGTTGCAGTAGCTTTACCCTCTAGATAGATTGGTGGGCTCTACATCTCTCTTTTGAGTGAGAAACATGGTTTTGTTGTTTTCAGCTGGTGAATTCTGCAAGAGCATCAAGGTATCCTTGTGATCCATTGCAGAGCTTTCGACTGTCAGCTGCAAATGTCACATTAATAGCCTTTAGAAGAAGCTTCTATTTGTTGCAAGGTGGGTCTGAGTATATCAGATCCCGCACGATTCTGTGGACCTCTGCCATCCTGGAAGCCAAAGCTGATCCGGCAAGATAACGAATGGAGTGAATACAAAATAAAATTGAGTCAAGAATTACTTTCAGCTGCTCGTAGAGCTGAATTCTCACTAGCTCTCATTAGGTGTCATTATTGACTACTCAATTCTTCTACTGGAAGTTTCATTGGGCTTGTCCACTTTGTAAATGGGACGCGATCAGTGCTGAATGACTTCGATCTGCACTTGAACAAGGAAAACATTTCCCGCTCAGTTGCTTGCAGTACTCGGACATGAAGCTATTCATATGTTAAAATTGTAACTTTGCAATAGTAAAGTAAGTAAAATTACAACTACAACAAATAAAATTACAACTACAACTATACAATGTGCGTGAGACTGCACTTGTGTGTGTGTGTACAGAGTAAATGATTATATGTGTGTTTGTCTGCTAGTCAAATCTGCATGTGTGTGTGCGTGTGGGAGTGCATGTTGAGAAGGAAAAGTTTTAGCTTAGTACACAACTTACCTCAACTTCTGCTATTGTAGAAATTTGTCAAGTTTTGGGCTCGTTGGCTGTGACTGTGTCCTGCGCTTTTTGCTTCCCGCTTCCCATTTCCTTCCTGCGACCTACGCCTCGCCCTGTCGAGTGGTTCAATTTCAGGGAGTAGTCGGCTATGCTCAAACTTTGTGTTGCAGTTGCAACAAAGTTCGCTGGCGTAATTGATGCACTCAAAGGCGCTGACATGCAAAAGGGATAAAGGCGCAACTTAGTTTCGTGTCCAGTCGGGGACGCACTTTTTGCAGGTGATAAATTTCGTAAAGGTATTTTAATTGATTTCGACCAACTTCCAATTTATATTATATATATATTTATATATATATATATATATGCGTATAAAATGCAACCAATCAAACCCGTCGTCTCGGGACGTACCAGAAGTGAGACATGAGGCTTTCAATTAAAAATTTAGAGAGGGGATCGAACTTTTGACGTCATTGTTGCCAAAAAGCAACAGCAGCAGGAACAGCAGGCACAGGAAACTTGTTGTGGCATTTGACAGAGTAAGAAAGAAGAACAGAGGAGGAGGGTGGGATGAGCAAAGCAGAGCAAGGGCTCGGAACGACATGCCATATGTGTGTGTGTGTGTGTGTGCTACAATGCAAATAGCCGAATTCGAAAAGACAAACGCCGAAACGTCGAAAAATGTAGGTGCCGGGCCTAGGGAGAGGAGAGCACGAAGCACATGAATAAATTTCCAAGCAACTGAAACGCTGAACCGAACGAGTTTTGCTTTGTTTTGGCGCCTCAGCGTATGCAACATAAAATGATCAGACAACGGCAGCAGTTGCAACAGTCGTTGCCGCATGCGGTATGCGGTGGCATTTTACTTGCTACATAGTTTGCCAGCTGGCGGACGACTTGCGTCTGAGCTGGAGAGGCAGCTACGCTCAACTTGCGCTGCAAAAGCCACAAAAATAAAGCAAAGACGACGACGACAAAGTATGGCAACAATGCATTACTTTTTGCAGCTATCAACTGTAAGTTCATGTGTGTATGCGAAAAATTAGAACCACAAATCATTTTGAAAACAATGCATATGCCATGTCATATATGAGGCAGTCGAATGGCTAGGCACTTGCCTCTCATCCGCAAGCGGGCCCCGAATTGTACGAATTCAATTCGAAGCTGAAACTTAAGCTGCCAGCACGCACAGAATCTTGATCTTCTTTAATTTTTTCTCCTCATGCTCGCATCGCGGCCTCGTCTCGCTCTTTCGATTTTTATTGACTCGGACTTTAATGTCTACTGGAAAAGCACTCTCAGTAATAATGATTGAAATTTAAATGAAAAGTTTTAGTCGGAATATGTTGATCCCTTTGCGATTTGAATTGCATTCGGCAACATATTTGCTGATATGGATATCCTGGCAAATTAATCAATCAGCCGTTCACAGCATGAGGCTGTATGGACTATTAATGAGCTTAAGGTAGTTAGTTCCCGGCCTCTTGAATCGCAATGCGCTCGTTGGCGTTGATTATGTGATTTATATAAGCATGGAGCACGACATCCTGAATCGATATCGTAGGCGCCCATAATCAAGCGGAGCCTCTGCCCCAGCTGCTTGCCAGCATGTGTCACTGACTTCTGGATTCGGAGTGTTTATAATCCTCATTTACCTACCAGTTGTGCACAAGGAGGAGCTCTAGGCCCGTTCACCCCTTGCCTTGGCCACAGAGGCCGCATTATGTGTACACAAGTATGGCAAATGCACATACACATACACATGGATGTACATATACGAATATGTAAATGACGGCTCGGTAGCACCGCCTCGCGCAGTCCACAGCCCACAGCCCACAGCCCACAACCCAGTGGCCTCAGCCCATAGCCCTCACTTCACGTTGCCTTGTTTGCAATTTAATATTCATTTTGAAAAAGCCCATTTACATTTGCGCTTTTGTGGCACCTTTGCGTGGGCCCCACCCCTTTTCTCATTTTTCTCATTTTTTTGTGCTCACACTGGAAATGGCAATGGCAGCGTCGCCGAAGCTTGGACGCGCAACATGGCGTATGCGTAATCTAAGCAAAGCCTCTTGCTTTTGTTCAACTTAATTCAACCGCAAGGCAACTAACAGCCAACAACCAAGAACCAACAACCACCGACAACCAACAACCAACAACCGACAACCTACAACCTACAACCTACAACCAGTTAGCAACTGCAGTTCATTATACAAGTGCTAGCCTAGTCGGAGGAATATCAAGAGTGTCCAACTGGTGGCAGTAGCTGCACGTTGTCAGAAATCCCACTTGCTGTTGCAAGAAATCCCACTCCAGCCCAGTGCCCCATCCTTTCGTTTGCATTTAACTGACATTCGGCACTAGCTCCGCACCGAGCGCCGGTGGTGCAGTGGCTAGCATGGTTGTTCCCCAAGCAGCTGATCCGGGTTCGATTCCCGGCCGGCGCACAGCATTGCGTGTTCGATTAATGCGCATTTTTTATTAATATAAAAAGTTTTCCACATTTCATTCTTTTACTGTGAGCACAAGCACAATTTTTGCACGTCGTCGCACTTGTTATGTGTTGAAATACCTCTATGGGGATATGAAGAAGATATGCATATGAAACGATAAAAGCTCTTTAAAGCTCTTAATCGTAACAACCAAGAAAAAATATTAAAGGTCTATTACAAATTCATCGCTTACATAACTGAGCGGCTAGTCCTAAAAGCTCATTAGAGCTCGATACAAAGTAATCAATTAACTTTTCTTGCATCAAATAAAAGCTCGCCGAAGTTATAAGCATAAGTTATTAATTAACTTGAATTACATACATGCTTATATAATTTTCTAATAAAAGCTTACATCGAACATTGCAAAAATAAATAAAAGTTTGTAACATTTTATATGTACTTTTCCAGTTTTTCTTGTAGCCCATTTGATCGAGCTACCCTCGCTGGATAGTAGCGCGTGTCCAACATTTATGTATAATCACATTAGGCTAGCTATACGCAAATGGTAGCCCTCCATTGCAGCTCGCAACGGTTAAAAGGACCAAAAGGTTAACAGGAAGTGGTCTACGCTAGTCGCTGGCATTTCAAAGGCTCGGACAATGCGCTGGCTAACGGAAGCGGCTGAAGCTCTAACCTTCTGTCAATGCCCGAGCAGTCATGGAAGCGCATGCACTATGCAGTGAATACTATGAGTCACCCGGCCCAACTCAAAGAAGAGCATTCAAAAAAGCTACAGCAAAAAATAAATTAAAACAAAACCATTATACCCTGATATCCCATTTTCACTGGGCTCAGGGTATAAAAATAATAGGAACCAAAAAAAAAAATAATAATAATAAAAGTAAAAAACATGTAAAACATAATAAAATAAAAATAAAGTGAATGTGTGTATGTATTTTGACTATAGAAATCATTGTTAAGTGGGTCCAAACCACTCCGGTAATAGTTCATGTGAGCTCAGTTCAGGTCAGCTCAGGTCAGTTTAAAGGCTCCATACCCATCTCAGCTGTGTTGACGGCTGAGCTCGCGCCGTAGTCGATGTCCGTAGGTGTGCGCACAGAGACGAAAAGAATCGAGGAATCGGTCCATGCACATGTGGATACAGTTTTCCTCCGGTCCGCTCAAGTGGTCGCGGGGCTTCGTGACGCATTTTTCGAAGCATTTGCAGGTCACCATGGCTAGTAGCTCCTGGACATTTGCCAACGCAATCTGTTGCTTCATCTGCCGTATCAGCTCCTTCGAGTCCCCATCGGATACCCGATCCATACCCCTTTATCGCTAACTCTCCCTTTCTCTGTCTCCCCTTCTTATCACACTCTCTCCCTCTTGCTCCCACTGTCTGTACCTTTGCAGACCTTACTTAACTGGAATTTATTTTTGTGGCTCACAGCTCGAACCAGTATCGAAAATGTTTTGAATTATATTTGAATAATCAGTTAATCCAAAGGCAACTTTGTAATATCGAACTAACACCGAACTGCTTGCTCCCAAGATCCGAATGATGCAGCTGTTGCTGCTGCTGCTGCTGCTGCTGTTGCCATGTCATGAGTGGTTCATCATGACTGGCCCTGCGCTTGCTGCTGCGCGAGGCTTTCCTTCAGCTCCGCCTGCAGTCTATTGCCAAAGGCACGTGCCACCAGGGTATAGGAGTCCATGTACCGATCCATGCACATGGAGATACACAGCCGCTGGCGGCTATCCAGGGAGTCCTCTGGCTTTGGCACACACTTATGAAAGCATTGAATCGACAGCCTGCTTAGCATCTTCTGCATTGTATCCAGCGTGGACGCCTTCTTGATTTTGATCTTCAGCTCGTCCTCATTGTACTTGGCCCGATTCAGACGCTTCGGTAGATATCCTAGTAGATTAACCATGCCCTCGCTGTCTATAGATAAAACTGGAAATAAGTTATGCTCTTTTACTACAAATTTGGGAAATATATCAAGGCTAACTTCTCACTTATCAAATGAGAATGGGAACTGGACTGCCTGCCAAGCAGGAAAATGTGTCAGACAGAGCACTCAAAATACATTTACTTTAGATGTTAAGCCCAACGTTATGGCAGGGACTGGATGTGAACTTATCCTGAAAATAGCTGACATCACCTATTCAAATTAACTTTTAAGAACTGTTGCGTCAGTCTATAGATAAATTCACTTTTGCTCGTCGAAAGAGTTAGCTTTCTTCAAAACGAAGAAAGAACTAATATCAAATGATTAAAATGTATAATATCTAGATTTGTTCTCCTCATCCATTTCCTAAATTGTTTTCAGGAATATACGTAAGTAGTTGTATCATATACATTTATATTTACTTACTGTAAAAATTATTCTTATACCCTGAACCTATTGAAAATGGGAAATCAGGGTATAATGGTTTTGTTAAAAGTATGTAACAGGCGGAAGGAGGCGTGGCAGACCCCACAAAGTATATATATTCTTGATCAGGGATACGAGCTGAATCGATTTGGCCCTGTCTGTCCGTCCGTCCGTATGTATGAACGCGTCCATCTCAGAAGATATAAGAGCTAGAGAAATTTATGTTCATGGGTCCGTGTATATCACGCGCATATCGAGTTTTTCATCCAAAGTCGATAGCTACTACCGATATTTTATTATCGATTAAAAACCTTATCGAAATGTACAGCGCTTATCATAATTATAGCCCACCCAGCAACTTAAACTTTGAGCCAGTTTTAACAACATTTTTAAGGTTTTTCAAAATTAAATTTTACAGCACTTTGTAGACTGGAGCATGTTTAGTAGATTTTTTTGAAATTTTTCTTCAATTTATGGAAAACTAAGAAAGAACCGTTAACTTTTGCTCTGTGCTAGCATTTTTGCTTGCATTTTTGTGTATCATAATTATAGCCCACTGTCGCAAATTTGAATTTATTAAGTGCGGAACAGACTTTTGGCTTTACAGACATTGTAATTAAGTAAATTTAGATAGTTTTTAAGAAATGCCGCTTGGAAAACAATTATCTTATTATGAAAAGGGCCGTATTTTCTCACTTTTCGAGTCAGGAGAGTCTATTTCGAGTATTTTTCGAATTTTGAAAAAAAGTCAAAGTGTAATTAAAAATTTTTTGGATAACCCCGAAGAATAAGGTTCAAGAAGACGTACTGGGTGAAAACCGTTACTAATTGCGCACAATAAACGCAAAATTATTAAGAAAGCCAGCAATAGCTTAACCGCTTGTACAGCTTTGGACGCACATGTGGCCGAATCTATGTCAGGGATGACTGTTTGGCGAGTACTTAAGAGCTCAGGAATCATAAAGAGATCTAAACTGACCAAACCACCCAAGTTGCTAAGTCGCCACAAGGTTGCTCAACTTGATTTTGCCGAAAGACACCCTGCGACCGATCTGACATACGCCCGTTTGTATCATCGTCTTTCGGCTTACAGTATATTTATAAATTTTTACCCTAACAGGTCACATTTTCTGATGGGAAGAAGTTTAACCTGGATGGTCCTGATGGGTTTGATACTTCTTAGCATGATTTGAGGAAGGATCCCATGTTTTTTTCAAGGACAGACTTTGGAGGTGGCTCAGTCATGATTTGGGGTCCATTTTTTTCATTTGGAACCTGGGAATTAAAGTTTGTAACGAACCGAATGAACAGTGAAGAGTATATTCAGGCTCTGGATAGTAGTCTCATTTCATATTTAAGGGAATTACGTGAGAAACCAATGGTTTTCCAACAGGATAATGCCAGAATCCATGTGAGCAGACGTACAAAAGAGTGTTTGGAGGAATGTCATGTTGATGTCCTTGACTGGCCAGCATGTTTTTCTCAACCCGATAGAAAATGTCTGGGGTAATCTAACAAGACGTGTGTATGCCAAAAATCGCCAATTGGAGACAGTTGGATATCTTAAAACGCAAATTCTAAATGAATGACAAAGTTTCGAAAAGGACCTTTTATTAAATTTAGTGGTTTCAATGAGGAAGGGAATTTTTGAGTTGACTAAGGCAAATGGAGGCCGGACTAAGTATTAACATTAGTTTTTCCATCAATCCGCAACGGATTTTTTTTTACCAAAATATGAATATGGGCTATAATTTTGATATAGCAAATGGTGCTGTTTTTCTTTGTTTTTTACATATTTTTCAGAAATCGTTATTACCCCATGCGTGTTTATGCGTGCATGCCTATGTGCGTCTGTGCGCGTGTTTCTTGTGTAAGCAGAAATACGCGAATAATTGCTGAAATATCAATTCTTAGAAGGGTTCAGGGGATTTCGTAGTCGAGCAGTCTCGACTAGAGCCTTCTTACTTGTTTCTTTCAGTATATCTTAAGCTAAACACATGAGGAACCTTTGTAGATTCAACTCAGGCTCCAGACTTTCTGGACTTCAAGCATTGGCCGAGCCAACAGGCCTATTTAAGGACTTGTCTGAAATATGTTTTAAAGCGTGCTCCTCCAGGAATTTCAGCTGCCTACTGTCACGTTTTATATTGATATTTTAAAATGAAGGAACAACATGTAAGCAGCCATCGAGGAATAACGAACAATGAGTAACGAACAACTAACAATCGGCAAGAACTAAAAACAAATGGCTGAACAAATTTCTGCGCATTTCCCATTTGCAAGCGCCGTTCGCTTCGTACGTGCCGGCGAGGCGAGTAGGATGTGTGCAGTGCGGCCAGAGCGGGATAGTGGGCCGGTGCAGCAGTGTAGCAGTTGAGAAGTTGAGCAGTTGAACGCCGCCCAACACATCGACAAGCGGATGCAGACGGCCACGTAGCAATGGAAATGACGCAACGCAAAAGCCGACGACACGGCACGGAAATTGCAATTGAGTGCAAATTGTTGGATTCGGGATCTGGCGGCTAATGCGGGAGCCATAATATCGGAGCACGTGAACAAGTTTTCAGCCGGGCTGGGTCAGCTGATAGGCGCTTTGTTTAACTTGGGCAGTGACTAAATATTTCATAAGTTACAGCTCGAGCGGTGAATAAATAAATCTGGCCGAGGCTTTCGTGCCTGGGACAGTCGAGGCCTGTGCAAGGGACCGAAAGAGCTGACAGCTTTAAGAGAGTGAATGTCCGCCCACCTCTTGTGAACGGTAAACAAGTGGGAAGCAAAAAACATTATAAGGGCAGGCGGCGCACTGGCTTTGTTTGTTCACGACTTTAATGTAGCCGACGCGAAGCAACATGTCGATTGTCACGTTCACGCGCGACTTTTATCGCGCGCAAATCGCTCGAAAGCCAACTTGAACTCAACGTGGTCGAAAAGCCGCGATTAATACTTCGCTTATGTTTAAGGCGCATATACTCTCATCAAAGCTGCCATCATTTTATGCACGCACGCAGTGCATAGAATCGTTTAGTTAACGACAGACAGGTAGGCGAGTTTTCCACAAATGCAGATGGAAATGTTGGCAGTTCTTATCTGCGCTTTACTATCGTACAGTTCGTAATATGTATGTATACAGGCTTATGAATAGACTAAGACAGTGCGAAATAAACTCACATTGAGATGTTAAAATGAATCACTCAGTCAAGCAATCGGGTATATGTGTATAAGTACATATAAGCAATTCTCTAGTGGCGAATGTGACATTTGTACGTTTTTGAGTTTAAAACAATTAAGAAGGCTCTAGTCGAGACTGCTCGACTAGGAGATACCCTGAACCCTTCAAGCTGATATTCTAATTATTCTGCACTTCTTCTATGCACACATACATACACATGCATCCAGACGCACGTATGACAACGCGCTCTGCTGACGGCGCAGTAAGCAGCGACTGCGCTTGGGCTGCACTGCAATGTGGCCAATATTATACGAATTTATTTGTTGAATAATTTGATTTCTAGATGTACAATCTTAATGAAACTTTCAGATCGTAATTATATGGTGAAAAAGTGTGTACATTCCGAAGCACAAGTCTCTAGTACTTGAAATGCGTTTTTTACAAATTGGCGTGGTATCCAAAATCTGTAAATTACAAAATCTTCCTATCAATCAACTGTATATACACAGTAAATCTGAAGTCTCTAGGTCTAAATTAGTTCAAATTAGCCTGAAAAAACAAAATCAGTTTTTCGATTATTCTCGATAAAAAGTTATCGAATGATTTATCGAAAAAATAAAGCAAACTCGTGCTGCGTATGGTACACACGAGTATGCATGCCAAATTCAGCTCTCTAGCTCTTTTAACTTCTGAGATCGACGCACTCATACGCACAGACGGACGGAAAATGCATTTTCCGATTTGCCACGCCCCTAGTGGGCGTATCAGGAAAATTTTAACACTTTACAAATCGGAGATATACACGAGTATGAGTTCCAAATTTCAAGTCACTAGCTTCAATAGCGCCGAAATAGATTGCGTTCATACGGACAGACGGACGGGCGGACAGCAAGGCGGACATTGCACAAAACCAATATACTAATTCCCATTCGTGAATGAGTATAATAATTCACTTTCGTGAATGAGCATAATACTTTTGTCAATACCTCACACACAGCTTGTTTTATTCTATTTCAACATCTACCCACCCTTATTTAAAACCCCTATATCAACATATCAACAAGTGGGAGCTGTTCCTTTTAAATGGGTTCGATGCTGCTTTAGGCCAATAAAAATTGCTCGATTGAGCATCAATTTAAAATATACTTACCATCTATTCTAACCACAAAATCTAAGAATTGTTAAATATTTAATCCATAACAAAAAAGTTTTATATAGCTAGCTAAGACATGTATGTGAGACCTGGTTGCTCACAACTGCAGCATTTGTACATCTACGCTTAACATGAATAAAGTTGATCAATAAATGGGCACTGAGCCGTATTAGCTAATCCTTTTAAGGAATGTTTTGAAGACCACAAAATGTCAGAGACTACACGTTTAGTAAATGTCTGCATTGTGATGAATTTAC